TCCCCTCGCCTCCCTCGTCTCATTTGTTCGCTCGCCCACCCCATTGGTCGTCGCTCGGTCGCCGTCGTCTCTGTCGATTCCCCTCTTCTTCAACGGCTCCGACTGGCGCCCATCAGCTCCACATCGCCAGATCCAACTAGCTAGCAGCCTTGTGCTCGAGCTCGGACAGATCCAGGAGGAAGAAGAGGACGGGACGAAGAAGGGCTTGACGAGAATACCCGGATCTCGGCACTTGATGGAAGATGTTGCTGCCGCCTCCATTGTCTTCCCCTCGGTCTTGCTATTGCCGGTGATGTGTTCCTCGCTAGCCACCACTGCACCTCTGTCCTTCACAAGGTGCGACGGGCCAGATCCGGTGGCCATGGCTCCAAAGGATCTGGATTCAGCGGCCTCAAACTCTGACGACGGTGGTGAACGGCGAGGCGCCAGGGGGAAGAGCCGAGAACGGCGGGGCACCAGGGGAAGAATCAAGAACGGCGAGCGGCGGTCTCCGTCAAGCAGCGATGACGACGAGGCTTCGAGGCCTTCATTTCTTTCATTTTCTTTTTACTTTTCTGATTGGAACTGTCTATCCATTTGTCGGATGATTTCTAACCAAAAATCACTCAGATTTTTTCTACCCTTAGATTTACATCCAATTGACTATAAAAGAGAATAACTAATACATATCTACTTACACAATATTTTTTTCAAAATTACAGTGCACTTACATATTATATCAACTAAATTTACAAATGTAATTTTAGTTATATAGGACTGTAATTTTATATTTTTAAAGAAAATAATAAATACATATTTACTTACACAATATCTTTATCAAAATTACAGTGCACTTAGATGTCATATCAACTAAATTTACAAATGTAATTTTAGTTATATAGGATTATAATTTTATATTTTAAAGAATTATCAAAATTACAGTGTACTTACATGTCATATCAACTAAATTTACAAATGTAATTTTAGTTATATATTACTATAATTTTATATTTTAAAGAAAATAATCAATACATATCTACTTACACAATATTTTTATCAAAATTACAAAATTACAATGTGCTTACATATCATATCAACCTAATATACACATGTAATTTTAGTTATATAGGACTGTAATTTTGTATTTTATTTTTTATTTTATAGTTTCAAAAATTTGTAAAGTGAAAAGAACCAGGCCTACCATCCGACGCATGGTATTATCCACGTATGCAGCCTCCACCAATTATTGCATAAATCCTAGCGAGGAATCCTATGGATAGAAAAACGTGAAATATCAGTAAAAAAAAATCACCCGTGAGATGTATAGCAAAATCGTTGCTGATTTGTTTCTCCCTGATTAGACCGACAGTAAAAAAAGTCCGTGTAATACTCCGTGCTACTGTTTCGCACAGTTTGTTTCCATTTTTTTTTCTCTTGACAATTAGTACTCACATCGCAGTAACGTCACGTTTTGATATTACATTTGATCTAACCAATTATATTTGATCATATTTTTTTACTACAATTTAAAGTGCATGAACTTAAGACATTATTATTTCTATATAATTGGTAGGATTATACTCTTACAATAGAAAAAAATAATTGGATTCAAAGTATATGCGAGCAACTAAACACAATCTCTTGCATACAAGTTTTCTTATCCAACCAACCAAACAACATCTTACAGAAACCAGGTCTATCTAATACATACAACCAAACACTCTCTATTGCATCTTACTAACCAGGCCAAACTCAACCTGGATGATGAGACATACAAGCCAGGCTGAGGACACTCGAGCAGCCAAACACACCCATAGTTTCCTGGCCACATAGATCGTGACCTAAACCTGAGCTTGACAGTTCATCAGTCCTAACAGCTAGGTTGGTGCGATCTGAGTTTCAGACATGCAAGGCTTCAGTTTACCCTCAGGAACTTTTATTAGCTACGAACAGTGTCCGCCGCAACTCTCGGCAACCAACCACAACCAAGTTGCGTCGCTGTCACAAACCGCATCCAGGCAGCCGCATCCAGGCAGCCACCCCTGCCGGCGGATCCGCGGATTGTTGTACTGTGTAGCTAGCTGCCTACACAGTACGCCCGGCCGGCCCGGTGTATGACAAATCGGACAGCAGCAGCCACTGAATGGGCACGTCTACAAGTGTAGTAGGGCAGGATGTCATATTGATCATCTGCGATGGGATGGTCCGAGGTTACATTGACGGTTTTTTTAGTAGCAACTACTACCTCCATTTCATAATGTAAGGGCCCCTTTGAATCAAAGGATTTATGTAGGAATTTCATAGGATTCAAATCCTATATGAAATTTTCCTATTTGGCCCTTTGATTCAAAGGATTGAAGCTTTCCAAATTCCATGAAATTCCTATGGAATGGCACATTGTATGTGGATTTTGGAGGAAATTTAGCAAGAGCTCCAACCTCTTGGAAAATTTCCTTTGAGTCTATCACTCTCATCCGATTCCTGCGTTTTTCCTGCGCTCCAATCAAACGACCATTCATGTGTTTTTCCTGTGTTTTGCAATCCTCTGTTTTACACTTCAATTCCTGTCAGAATCCTGTGTTTTTCCTATTCCTCCGTTTTTTTTACCCTGCGATTCAAAGGGGCCCTTAAGTCATTCTAGCATTTCCCACATTCATATTAATGTTAATGAATCTAGACATATATATCGATCTAGATTCATTAACATCAATATTAATGTAGAAAATATTAGAATGACTTACATTATAGACCGGAGGGAGTAGCAAGCACATACTACACGAGAATAGAATAGAATCCTTATTTACAGTATTTACATTAGGTAGAAACTAGTAGAATATATACTTGTAACTATAAAAAGTTATTTCTTGAGGACCTCATTATTTTGTATAACTTCGTTTACGTATGCCTTTGGAGAAAATAAATTTTGAAGCAACACAACCGTATTATAGGTTTGTTTATAGTTGGACGACCATACCACGTGGCACGATGCGGTTTGAGGATGCTCCTCATGTCCAAAAGGATTTAAATATAAAATTAAAGCTTAAGAGGGAGTTCAGTGTAAAAGAGATCCATGTCCAGCTTGTTTGGAGCAGCGAAATAGCACTGATAGAGGGGACTAGAGACACAATCATTTGGAGATGGACAAGTACCGGCAAATACATGACAAAATCGGCTTACCTGGCCCAATTCGCCGGCAAAAGGTGGAATTAAGGGCAACCACCATGATTTGGAAAGCATGGGCGCCGTCTAAATGCAAGAATTTTGCATGGTTATTGCTGCAGAACAAAATTTGGACAATGGATCGATTGCAAATCAGACAGTGGCCAAATTGTTACTTTTGTCAACTCTGCTACAGAGACCTGTAAACAACACAACATTTGTTCAAGGATTGTCCGTTCACAAGGAAGGTCTGGGACAGAGTAGCCACGAGACTGGAGTGCAACCAAGCATTCCCGGCGCACAATTCAGAGGAGATACTGATTGAATGATGGGAAAAGAAGACGCTGCAGCAAGACAAGAGCAAAATGAAAGGTATGCGATCACTGCACATGCTCCTCTGCTGGGAAGTGTGGTGTGAAAGAAATAGGCGAGTCTTCAAGAACGAGGAACTCTTAATGTCTCAGCTGATGATGAAAGTGCTGGACGAAGTGCAGCTATGGTCTGCTTGTGGGGCTAAAGACATCGTTTTTTCCCTTTTTTTGGTGATTGGTGATTGGCTGGCTTAAATTTCCAAAAAAAAAAGAAATCCATGTGTTTTCTTTAGAAAGGTCGTGACTCTTCCCTTTCATATGTTCCCTAGAGAAGAACCTTTTCATATTGCCCCTCTCTCTTATCATGCGACTAATCCTATGTGTTGTGTCACCGATGCCCACCTCCTCCCATTGCTGGTTGCTTGTGGGTCTTCCCAAGCAAGGAGCCTCTCTAACCAAAGACGGTGGTGATGACAACCATGGCAAGGCAACCGTTGACGGTGCTCGTGCAGCTTGTCATCCTCCTCTTTCTTCTTAGATCGCTCTCTCTCTAAGTGCACACGACATAGAGACATCGCCGAAAGCTAGTAGGATGTCGTAGAGAGGGGAGGGGATGAACAAACGTTCTTGAAAATTACTTCAAATTACAACGATCAAATTCAATGGCCCAAAACTTCCTGGTAACAATTTTAGCCAAGCAGAGAAAGCTAATCGGAACTTTTAGGGTTCTTCCTTAAGAATTTCGAAGCAGTTGTGAGTTGTTGTTCCAAGCATGAAGCACCCCTGTAAACACATAATAATATAGTAGGTGGCTAGCAGAAACAAAATACAAAAAAAACAAGTAAAAATAGGAAGAGGGCACACGGGACAAGACAAAGGGAGATAAAGATTTTTATGCGAAGTTCAGATCACAAGGATTCTACTCTCTATTGAGAAGCTTTAGAGAGTTGGGACTGTAGTATTAACCCTTTACCTCACCAAACAAGTATCTAGAAAGAAGCCTTTAGCCTCTAAGCCAACACCCCTAGGTTTCTTATGATTCCAAATGACCGTAAAGATTCCTAATTTAGATAACGTGTTTACACCACGACGGGATGAGATGGCGGTCGGGACTTCCGACTTCATATTTCGCTTATGCTCATACTTTTCAGCCAAAACTTGAATTTTTGAACTTTAAATTTTGAGCTAATTTTGGGGTTTTTCATCGAAGTTTATTTTTCAACCTTTACTTTTAGATAGCTAAGAACACGTATATAAAAGTTTTATTCACAAATTACTTTTTGTTTCCAAATATGCCATTCGGGTTATTGGGCCGTTTGCGAAATTTGTGAAGTGAAAGCTGCTATTTATTTATTTACTTATTTATTGAGAACGTGAAGGGGAAGTTTTGCTAAGGAGTAAAGGAGGAGTGTGTGCCTCGAGAACGGTGTAAAAGGGATCTATCCGGCCCTGGGCCGAAAATATCTGGGCTGTAGCTTTTGATGGGCTAATGTGGGGTGATTAGGCTTCTACTGCAATTCAGTACAAGTAAATTCAGTATTACTCCGTACTTAAGAGGAAAAGAAGAGAAGTGAAGAGGACGAAACGGCGGTGGGCTCTCGAAACTTCCGGGCTCCGGCGACTCCGCCGGCCGCGATCTCCTCCTCCTCCTCCTCTCCGGCTCTTCCCGGAGACGACCAACTCCCTCCTTCCTGTACGCTCCACCCCTCTCCCTCGATCTACTCCTCTCGCTTTCGCTCCAGCTCGTCCAGATCCGGCGGACCTGACGCGATCGCTTGCGCTTTTCCCCCCTTCCGACTACTCGCGGTTCGATCTAGTGTCTGCTGGCCTGCAGTGTGATATGTGTAGCTGGTAGCTGCTTGGTCTCGCAGCTCTCGCTGAAGCCTAGAACATGGGTGTGGATCTCGCGGTATTTTAGATGGTGTTTTCTTTGCTCTTTTTTTTTTGTTGATTATTTTTTTTACGTGGGTTGATTGGTTCGATCGTGATTTCAGCTATTTTTGGCCTCGTAGTTTGCTCCGGAGGATCGGATCGTGCTAATTGCCAAATTGATTCAATGGATTTGGATTGTCCTGTTTGCAGGGTTCGGGGTGCTGATTGACGCATTTAGTGTTGTGTGCTTGAGTAATGGCAATAGGGGAGTGGAGTTAGATGCATTTGGTCATGTGGTGTCTAAGTCATGTCTCATGCATGATGACGCAGATGTTGTAGTACGAGCACCCGTTAGTATTGGAAAAATTAGGTTTCGTTCATCTAGGGGAGTTATTAATGTAGTATATAAATCATGGAATTGACTGTTCTGGGTACTAGGTGAATTAAAAATAGGATTTGAATGTTTTGCCCCTGCATTTATGAATTTTCCCAGTGGTAGGTTATGTTTGCGAGCTGCTATGTGACGTGTTTAATGGTGGCATTCTTATTAAAATTTGTTTAGATTGAAACAATATATTTCGTATAAATGAATTAGGGTCCAATTTTTTACTTGCTGTTGATACGGATTTGTGCAATGGATTAGTCATCCTTAGTCACCGGAAAATATGTGATTCTAAAATTGCCCTAAGAAATGTGATACCGCAAAAATGCAAAATGACATGAAATGCTTGGGCGGTGGTGATGGTTTCTTTCCTGGATTGCTTATTTATATGTTGACTAGAAAACTAAGTATGTACTCTTATGAAGTATAAATAACACTTGAAGTTGGAACTACACCTGAAGCACCTTTTTTTCCTGGCAGGTTCATTTGGTATTCTGGTGCAGTTTGCAGTGGTTTCTGGCCTTCTTGACAAAATGGTGAAGCTGACAATGGTAGCACGTGTCACTGATGGCCTTCCACTGGCAGAAGGGTTGGATGATGGACGGGATCAGAAGGACGCTGACTTTTACAAGCAGCAAGCTAAACTTCTTTTCAAAAACTTATCAAAGGGGCAACATGAAGCCTCGCGGATGTCAATTGAGACTGGGCCATACTTTTTTCAGTATCCTTATGTTCTGTGTGGTTTTTTTATTTCCAAGCATCGTTAATGACTGTTGAATTTGTTCCATTCTTTTAAATCCATGCATTATGTGTGATATAGCATATCTGGGTGCTAAACATTTACATCTGAACATGCATAGTCATTCTTTTATATTGTTGATCAAGTTCGCTTGTTGCATCCATGAAACATTACATTTCTTTTCTGGTGATCAAGATTTCATCGTATGTAGGATAGTTGTATTAATCGCAAGTAAACAAGAACATTGGTAAACATTTGACGAACCTATGTGATTGTCTAGGTTAAATTAACAATCATACAATAGCTACTCTACTTTTCTATAGCATTCAATTATTTTTTAGCATCTTACAACTTGCAAGCATGTTGTACTTATTTGATACACTTGTTGATCTCGTTATTAGTATGTGAGGCCATTTATCAAAACTAACTTTAAGATCATAATCTTATTTAACCTGCTACTTGCATTGTGTTCTGTCGCGAAAAGATGGCATTCAGCTGTCAGCTAATGATATTCTTGTAATGCATTTTTTAGCTTCTATTGGTTTGCTCAGTTCATCGCAGTATGATCTTGTTGAACCTTAATTAAAATAAACAGTTACATCATTGAGGGGCGAGTATGTTATCTGACAATGTGTGACCGTTCTTATCCAAAGAAACTTGCATTCCAGTACCTAGAAGATCTGAAAAACGAATTTGAAAGAGTCAATGGCAGTCAAATCGAAACAGCTGCAAGGCCATATGCCTTTATTAAGTTTGGTATGTTTTTAGAATTTAATTCCAGCAATATTTTCATTTGTCTAAGTTCAACTGGTTCACAACTTATTCCTCTTTCTACCTAGACACATTCATTCAGAAGACTAAGAAACTTTATTTGGACACTAGAACCCAGAGGAATCTTGCGAAATTGAATGATGAGCTCTATGAGGTGCATCAGATTATGACTCGCAATGTTCAAGAAGTTCTTGGTGTCGGTGAAAAGCTAGACCGTAAGTTTGCAAATACCTCTTGGTTCTAACATTACCGTATATGTCCTGTTACAATAAACCATCAGATTTCTGTAACATGCATGAATCAGGCTTACTATGGAGGACCTTGTCCTTTCAATTACTTTCATATATTTGTTCAAAAGCTTATTTACAATAATATCGAATTACTGACTTAGTCTTTCTTTTTAATTTTCATTGCACCTTCATTTTTCTTTTTTGCATTTAACTGCCCTGATTCTGATGTTTCTAAAGATTTATACCCACCTTTACCTTTTCGCTTTCCTTTGCATTTCATTGTGTGATAACTGATATTATGGTTTGATTGAATCAAAATATTGCTCAATCTTGCAGAGGTCACTGAAATGTCAACTAGGTTGACTTCTGACACAAGAATGTATGCAGATAAGGCTAAGGATCTCAATCGCCAGGTAATCCATTTACACAATTGCATGCACTATTTTTTGCAGATGCATTTGTCAGCTGAGCTTGAGCATTTTTCATTAGAATTATTAGAGACATCGGTATTGATGTTACTCAAACAAGTGAAACAACATTTAAAATTGTTTATGGATCAATTTCTTCAGCATGTGCTATGCACTTTAATTAGCATCAAGTATGACATTAAAATCGCCTTTACTTTCAAGATCAAAATAAGTATAGTCACTATAATTGGTTGTTGCTGCAACAGTAACAAACATCTCCATGAGCCTACTGTTAGAAGCTGCACCCTTTGGCTAATAAAATAAAATGTTGTTTTTTATTTGTGTTTATTAGTTCACTATCTATGGGCAGCTGGTCAGTTTCATCAGATTATAGAAGCACCCAAACATTATTCAGTTGTGGGTGGTGGCTCAGGAGTTCTCTCCATCATTTATCTGAAGGCTTTCCTTCAGCAGCATGTCGGTTCAGAAGTCATGACTACTATACATTGTATCCACATTGGCATTTCGTAGTTTGTAACATAATGTTTGTCATGCGTTGCCCTTAATTTTAATCTGCATTTGTCTACATTTTATCTACATCTTTCAGCGTCTCATTTATGGTATGCACAAACCTTTTGGATTTCAGGCCTTGATTCGGAAGTATGCCCCCGTTGCCATTGTGATCGGTGTAGTTTTGATGCTCTTTTGGTTGAAGAACAAGATATGGTAACTGCACCAAATGAAGGAAGCTGGGCCTGCGTTACAACACTGGAGAAAGAAAAACAAAAAAATTAGGTTGATTCTGGATCAATAGTGCTTTGGTGACGTGTATCCCGTATCTGCCCATTCAAGCGAGTACTTCAGCTGCCCTTTTACCCTCCTCCTCACTACAAAGCTATTCAAGTCAATTCGTTGTAGCATAGGCCTTATGACGGACTTGATTTTGTAAATCCTTGGAACTGTACATATAAGAGCTCTGTAGAGTTGAGTTTTCGGTATTGGGATGGGATTGTATTCTTTTGCAAACTCAACTCATGTAAGAATTCAGGCTGAATATCGTATACTCCATATCTCTTGGACTTCATGCCCATGTTGCCTAAACGTATTATGCCCTGATTAGTTACATTTTGAGTAATTTTATGGTCACCGAAGATGCATGTATGGGGAGTTTTAGATTCTGAGAAATAGGGATCCAGCTGATGAGAATCTTGATAAGCTCAATTTGCAACCACAGCTTCTGATTAATTTTCTGGAATTTGCAACCATAGCTTTTTTTATCAAAACGAAAAGCTGTTGTTTAAGAGAGCTGTAGTTGCTAGAAACTCTCTTAAGCAAGCTCTTACTTGGGTAAAAAAATTGATACCTCCGATTCCTGATTTATGTATTAGGGACCGTGAATTCACTGACCAATGTGCCATCTACAAACCACTTAAAAATTAGGCTTGATAAGTTACGTGGAATAGTGGTTCGTTCCTTGCAATTCCAGCTATCTTTGTCGTGCGATTGCGTTTCGTCTTCTACGGTTTCAACCACTCTTTCAGAGAGCAAGAAACTCTGGAATTGCCGGCTTCAAGGATTAGAATGTTTTTTCTTTATTTCAAAAGGATGGATTAGAATGTTTCTACTGCTAATCACCATCATCTCAGCCTCTGATGATCCACAGTTCCACACAACACTGTAAGTAAGTAGTATATTACAAAGGCCTAAGCTCCCCTATGTGAAAATGGTAAGCCGCCCGTGCCACTCCAATCAGCTGATCATTCTGCAGCAGCAACACACACACGCCATGACACCAAACCGGTTGCAACCTGCAGATGAGACGATTGCCGGATCACGAAGATGATTGATGAAGAAGAACGCGAGAACAGAATTTGTCGAATTCCTACTGTTCGATTCTAACAAGAGCTAATGTGCAGAGAAAGGAAAAAAAAAGAGGAAGTCAATTCGATTTGATCAGCGAAGCTGAACCAACAATTCGTCTCACACCTAGGATGCGGAGGAAGAGGCTGCTGCGGCGGTGGGATCGGATTCGGCGGGAGACATCTCGTCGTCCTCCTGCTGCTGCTGCTGCTGCCGATCCTGGAGGCGCGCGCGCGTCTCCTGGATCCGCTCGCGCGCGGCGGCGGCCACCCGCTTCAGGCCGCGGCGCTTGCCGTACGTCTCCTCGAGGCGGCGCTGCAGCTCAGCGGCGCGGGCGCGGGCCCGCTCCAGCTCCGCCAGCGCCTCGGCCAGCCGCGCCCGCGCCGCCGCCAGCTGCGCGTCCGCCGCGGCCTCCCTCCTCCGCAGCTCCGCCGCCGCCGACCCCGGCCGCCGCGCGTCGGCGAGCCGCCTCCCCTCGCACATCCTCCGGCCGCGTCGCGTGGGGCTCGGCTGGGTCGCGGCCGGAAGGCGGAGGGAGGAGCAGTTTGGTGGGCACCTGGGCTTTGGAGTGGGTGGGTGGAGGTGGAGGTGGAGGTGGTGGTGGATTCGTTTCCCCCACTCTAATGGACTCCTCGGTCGTCCTCCTCACTCTCGCGTGGGCTTCCCTTTCCACCATCGTGACAAGCCGCGTCCCACGTACACTAGCCTCAGTTTTCATGACTATTTTCTTTTCTTAAAAAAAATTAAAATCCGGCTCCTATATAAAAAATCTGTCCATGTGATAATACTCCTTCCGTTTCATATTATAAGTCGTTTGATTTTTTTTAAGTTAAACTTCTTTAGGTTTGATCAAGTTTATAAAAAATATATTAGTATTTTCAATATAAGACAAACATATGATAAAAATACAGTTAATGAAACTAATTTGATATTTTAAATGTTATTAAATTTATCTATAAACTTTGTCAAACTTAACAAAAATTTGACTAGGAAAAAAAATCAAATGACTTATAATGTGAAACGAATAGAGTAGTTTTTTTTAAACGAAAGGCACAACACACCAATTCATCGAATATAGAAGGAGAGCTTTATTTACAAGTAAAAATAAAGCGAGAAAAAAATATTTATAGACAAGGCAGCCGCCTAAGGCAAGAACTCTGCTAGGTGTTTGGCTTCCGCCAAAGCGCCAATGTCCAAGATTTTGACTCTTCCTTAATGTTCGCAATAAGGACCAATGAGAATAGTTTCTTGTTCCGAAAGATTCTCTGGTTTCACTCCTTTCATACTTCCCAAGAGGTTAGGAGAATTAGGGATATGGTCCCTTTCTTAGGTACACCCTGGCATGTTGCTAGATTTTTCATCAGTTCTAAACTGTGGTCACTTACGTTCAGTTTGTCCACCTCATGGGGTCACAGACTATCTAGTTGACAATCGCTTCCCAAATTGTCCTTATGTATGTGCAATCCACCATTAGGTGAAGAGAGGTTTCATCTGTGCATCAGCATAATGGATAACTACCATTGTTCTGCCAGTCTCGAATCACCGGTCTATCTGATGTCCATACTCTATTCTGAATAATTAGCCACGTGAAGGTTTCATGGAGCCTAGGGTTTCCGAAATAAGTGGTCGTAGTTTATTTTGAACGACCCAAAGAATTATGCCTAGTAGGTTGAGGTGGTGGTGTATTCCCCATAGTTCATGAGATTTCAAGAGATATCGTGGGTCTCGTCCAGGGTTAGTGTGACATGTTGAATTGCCATCCACAGGATGACCTGCTGGTCAAGTTCCCTTAATTTAGACCTGTGCTATTTCCATTCAAATTTGTTTCTAAATTCACATTTGATTTTAGACACTGTACTTTGATTTGTGTTTGCCAAATGGCCGGATTTCTCTGAACCCCGGCGACGCGACGGCGATCCTTGCGGTGGCCGGCCGGCCCGGATGGTCGATCGTATGATGATTGATGAATGTTGTGTTGCCACGGGGATCGAGCATGGCCGGCGTTCGTGGCGACGACGACGACCCGGCCTAAAATGTCAAATCAAGAACGAGTCTCACACAAGCTTGGAACAACCCGAACGGAAATATTTGTCTCGTGCCGTGCATCTACGTAGCCCGATGATTCCAAGGCAAACGAATCAACAAAATTTGGAGCCAATATGGGCATGCGACTATGAAGTGCCGCCGTTGGCCTGCTCCTGTTTATGCTTCCGCTGTTCCGCACACATGTACAAGTCCATTTAGAGATAGACCTGGCCATGCCATTAGTAACTAATATATATATTATGTACTCCCTCCGTTTTAGGTTATAAGACGTTTTGACTTTGGTCAAAATCAAGCTGCCTTAAGTTTAAACAAGTTTATAAAAAAATAGTAATATTTTAAACCTAAGATAAATTTATTATAAAAATATAATCAATTATTGATTCGATGAAACTAATTTAGTATTATAAATATTACTATATTTGTATGTAAATTTAGTCAAACTTAAAACAGTTTGACTTTAATCAAAGTTAAAACACATTATAACTTAAAACGAAGGGAGTACTATATTAATCCAAGTGATTAGTGTACTAAGCTCTATCCGTCTATAAATACATGCAAAAGCCTCTGAACTTGCCAAGCCAGTGAAACTGAGCACACAATAATCTGCAGCTCGAGATAAGATTTGCCCCCTGCAAAGTCATCTCTAGCTAGCTTGGAACACATAATCTGCGATCGATCGATGGCTTCCAAGCAAATGCTCGCTGTCGCCGCCGCCGCCGTCGCCCTCGCCGTGCTCCTCCCGGCGCGCGGCGCCGCCGCCACGGAGCACATGGTGGGCGACGGCAATGGCTGGATCCTCGGGTTCGACTACGCCGCATGGGCCGCCACCAAGCAGTTTAGGGTCGGCGACACGCTAGGTAACGGAAAAGCCTCGTCGCCGCCGTCGTTGTCGCCGTCGGCGGCGGCGGCGGCGTGCACACGATCGATTCTTTCTCGGCGCGCGACAAGCTAGAAACTGACGGTCGCGGCGTGCAGTGTTCAGGTACAAGGGCACCAACCACACGGTGGTGGAGGTGGGCGGCGCGGACTTCAAGGCGTGCAACAAGACGGCGAGCGCGAACGAGTGGAGCTCCGGCGAGGATCGCGTCGCGCTCGACAAGGAGGGCAGGCGGTGGTTCTTCTGCGGCGTCGGCGACCACTGCGCCAAGAACATGAAGCTCAAGATCACCGTCATCGCCGCCGGCGCGCCCGCCCCCGGGGCTTCGGAGGCGCCGCCGCCGCCGTCCAGTGCCGCCGGCAAGGCGCGCGCGCGCGTCGCGCACGCGGCGGCGGCGGCGGCGGTGACCGCGGCGGCCGCGGCCATGCTCGCGCTCTAGGCTTCAACATTTTCTAGTACCCATAGTCGAGCACTTTAATTTGATCGTGTCAGTCATCAGTGAGTGCATTTTCGTAGTGTTATTTTTCCTTCGTGTCGTTGGTGTGTTATACTGTGCGTGCATGTTAGATGCGATTTCGTTGTTTTTATTTCTCGTGTTGTTGATGATTAATTTCATTCGGTTAACGAAACTACCACTATTCGTCTCATTGTCTGCTTATAATACTGATGATCTGGGGTGTCCTACCATCTTTTCTTGCTCAGATTTGAAAATAAAAGTTTGTCGTTCTTATCTTTTTTTAAAACATAGTACAAATGCAGACGTCCAGGTGCTCATAATGCGCACGTACTCACCCTTATAAATACACATGCACACATTACCCTTATGAGCATATTCGAAAGACTGAGCCAATATATCTTGAGATTGTCTGTGTATGTAGATTGTCCCATGGTAGTGTGCCTTGTTTGGAACTTTTGAATTTCAAAGGATTTTCGTTGAAATTGAACTGATTTGTGTGAAAAATCTTGTTGTGGGCTTTGGCTCATGGGCAACGTAGGAAAAAAAACACATAGAGACATAAAAAACGTAGAAATTAAGGTGATATGTACAGTTAAATCCTTAGGAATTCTAAAATGCGGCAAATTATTGAAACCGTTTGTTCGGATAGATGCTTGTTTTCCATGAGATCTAACCTAATCTTAGAACTCCACAAAAAATCCCCTGAATGGAGTCATTCCATAGTAGTGTAGAAATCTCAAATCAACATTCTTTTGTTCCAAAGGAGCGCTGCCAAGGATTATTAATTAAAACGCCAAATATCTTTTTTAGTCAACGAGAGTACAAAACGCCAAATATCTATGACCAAAGTACAGTACGTACTTGAGCGGTTACAACCAATGCCTTTATGCTCTTTCACTCTATAAATTCTGCTAGATGCTGCTTGAACTGCGCATTTCTGAACTTTTCATGAAGGCCTGAAACTGAACAAGACTATACGAGCCTGATGAAGGTGGATTCTAAACACTTGAGCGGATGTCCACTTATTAAGTGCATGTCAACTAAATGATCATAAAAAAATTTTAAAACAATTTACAAGATAGATTGATATATAATATATCACTATACAAACATGCAACTTAAAATTCAACTTTTATAAGTTGTAACAAAAATAACAAATTTAATTGTGAATATACCTATACTAATCAGAGTTTGATTTGTTATTTTTGATACAACTAGCAAACATGCCCGTGCGTTGCAACGGGTGAAAAAAACGTAACGATAATATACGTTTTTCATGCATAACCATGTCGATGACAATCAGAAAATTGGAACATCTTAAATGTAATAGCCCAACCTCGATGATGGCAACCTTACGATGTTTGCTTTACCTAAAATAATTGGATTATTCATATGACAACATGCATATAATCTAAAATATTCTTTTAATCTTATTCTTGCAACCAATCAAATCCTACATTGCCTCGTATGGTCAAGTCTACACAAAATAGAGTCCCTGTCCACTCTTCTCTATATAACAATTAAAATATGTTTATTTTCTAAGATTATTTCATATAATATATTATCAAGAATAGTAGCTATACTTCACAAAAATAGTATGATAATTGCCTACGAAGATGTGCAGGGTCTCCAATACAGGAGAATAGATGACGAAACAAAAGCCGTGTAGGAGATGGAAAAAAGTCGATGGATCCTATCCGACCACGTGTCTATCAATTTAGCGCTTTTTTCTAATAGTTTTTTTCCACGTATGCTTCTTTTTTCTTTTTTATAGACGATGGAAATATTTTTTTCTCGTGTGTTTTTTTACGGACTATGGAACTTTTTTCTAGCGCGTTTTCTTTTATGCTTTTTTCTGACATTTTTTCCTCACGCATTTTTTAAACCGTTTTTATTTTCTCACGCATTTATTTCTTTTTTAATATACGGTAGAAACTTCTCTATTTAAATAGTTAGATTAGATTAGATTAGAGATAAAGAAGAGATATAAACAGACTACTAAAACGACGAATATAAATTAGACTTTTTCCGCCCTTTTTATTTTTTAGTGCATTTTTTTACGAAAGGTTTTTTTCACCACTTTCTTATAGTGTCGAACCTTTCTAGATATAAATAGGATTCCATTTTTTTTACCGCGTCACATATAGTTTCTTTTTATTTTGAATCGGACTTTTTTTATATATTTTTTTCACCCTTTTTTTTACCGAGTCGATGGAGTCGGATTCGTTTCGATTTTTTTCCTTTTTTTTTGGCTTTTTTTGATCGTACATGTTTGTTTTTTCTCCGCCCCTTTTTTTGATTGGAATTTTTTTATTTTTTCGGTCTGGTCGATTTTTTTACCGTGTCACATATAATTTCTTTTTATTTGGAATCGGACAGTTTTTTAAATTTTTTTCGCCCTTTTTTTACCGATTCGTTTCGTTTTTTTCTGTTTTTTGCCTCGTATTTTTTGGATCGGACAAATTTGTTTTTTTTCCATTTTTTCGCTCCGTTTGTTTGATCGGACCTTTTTTTCCTCCCGGTTTTTTTCTCCGTTATTTGATCGGACTCTTTTTTTCGCCCGGTTTTTTTCCCTCGGTTTTTTTCGCCAGGTTTTTTTTGTTTTTTTTCGCTCCGTTTTTTCGGATAGGACGTTTTTTTCTCCTTTTTTTGGATCTGACTCTTTATTTCGCCCGATTTTTTCGCTCGGTTTTTTTGACGGACGATGGAAGCACTTATTTTTTAAGTAGTAGAGATAGAGATAAAGATAGAGAAGAGAAGTGATAGAGATAGAGATAGAGATTTATTATTTATTTATTAGGTATATATAGATTAAATCTAAAACATAAAATTAAAACCGACTCAAATACGAATAACATACCAAGGAAACATCTTCAATTTTTATTTTTTATAATAGTAGAGATTTTTTTAGGTGCGGCTTTTCTTTTTCTTTTTATGTACTTTTCTTCTTTTGTTCTCACCTTTTTTTATTTTGTTTAATAAAAAAATAACCTCAAATACCTTATTGCAAGATTACAGGGACTCAAATATAAATAAAAAATTACAGGGACTCAAGTGCAAACCCAAAAAATAAAATCATACAAAAACGGAATGCTCTCGTCCTGTAGGTTCCGTTTTCGTAAACAGATCTTCAATTCGGCACATGAATTTTTTTTCCACCAAGATGTATTTTTATCATGGTATATATTGAAACGGAGAGGAGCTGTGCGGATCTCGGACTCAGGATTTTTATTTACGGGAGTACAATACAGGAATCGGATTGTTTTTGTACGGAAAGTTTTTTTTCCTTTTTATAGGGATGTAGGGAATCGGACTCTACTTTTTTTTTCTCCCGGTTTTTTTCTCTTTTTTTTTGGATCGGACTCTTTTTTTCGTCCGGTTTTTTCGCACGGTTTTTTTACGGACGATGGAAGTACTTCTTATTTTTTAAAGTAGTAGAGACTTGTAAAAGTCGAATTTGAACTTGCATGTTTGTGGAGTGATATATTGCATATGAATCTATCTTGTCAAATTTTTTGAATTTTTTCATACCCATTTAGTTGACATATAATAAATGGGTGGATCTCCACCTAGGTGATTAAAAGTGTTTCCCGAGCCTGATTCATCATTCATGCATGGTTGCTTTTTATTTGAGAGTGAGCTAGCCATTCTGACGTGACTGAGAGTATGACACCAACACCAGCTAGTGGGTGACGGCGACGGCGAGCTTCATGCCGGACTGGCAGTGTCCGTCGAAGCTGCAGATGAAGAGCCACCGCCCTGCCTGGTTCAGCGCCACCGTGTCGTCGCCGGAGCTCAGCGTCGGCGCGTTCGCCGGCGCCACGCACGCCTCGAAGCTCCCCTCGTCCTCCACCACCACCACGTTGTGCGCGCCCTCCGCGTACAAGAACTCTACATCTCACATCGATCACGCCATTGATGAGCTCGTACATATGTCTGCCTGAATTATTTGAGCTAGAAATTTAGGAGAAACTGATGCTCAATTTGATTATTACCTAGCGTGTCGCCGACCTTGAACCTCTTGCCGTGAGCCCAAGCGTCGTAGTCGACGCCGTTGTCCCAGCCGGAGTCGTCGCCGACCCGGTACGCCGTCGCCGACGCGGTCGTCGCCGGGAGTGAACCGGCCACGGCGGCGGCGACGACGACCACGACGGCCGCCAACTCGAGCGTGATCCTACGAGAAGCCATTGGCCGCAACGGATCAGCTTGGGGATCGATGCTTCACTGAGAATCAGTGAACAAACCACGCTGTTCGATCGATCGTGTTCATGTCTACATATATATAGCATCACTGGCTCAGGTTGTGATTGAGAAAAGACGCGCGGCTTGCGGTGCCATCGATGTGAGCGACGCCGCGACGACGGAGTTGGCTTGGCTTGGGATTTTGACGAGTTCATGCAAGAATCCACCAAGTTTTTTTCCTTGTTTTTTGAGACGAAAATCACAGTAGTTTTCGGTTGATCGAGTGAAGCCCAGCCCATCTATCTCCCGGCTTTTCCAAGGTGATGGGCCTACTGCTGCCAGTTGGCGTGGGCTTTGGGCCGGCAATCATTTTTTCATTGGAAAAAGTATACTTTGACTCCCTCAACTATTGGCCGAGTATGATTTATATTCTCCAACCACGAAACCGGGTATATCGATGGCCTTCGCTGGCGGTCGAGGCAATAAGTCATCTCTTATTGGCCACCGGGGCACCGATGGCCTTCGCTGGCCTTCCGTCTCCGTTGGCTTGTCCTGTCGGCACACGAGATGACTTGTGGCGCCCACATGTCGGTGGGTCCCACTATTTTTCTGTGTAAATGACATGTCAGTCCCACGTATTTTTGTTCTTTTGTTTTTACTCTAAAATGCCACGTAAGCGACACGTTAACGACACGTGTGACGAAGACCGGGTCAACACTGTCACGTAGGCGCCACGTCAGCTAAAACCGCTTCCAAAACCACTCATGGATATGGTTTGCACCAGTTTTGATAGTTGGAGGAGTCGATATACCTGGTTTTGTGGTTGGAGGTTATGAATCATACTCGGGTCATAGTTGAGGGAGTCAAAGTATACTTTTTCCTTTTTCATTTGAAGAAATGGTCCAGCGTTGAGGGATTCGGGTTTTATTATCGTTTTTTACTGGATATGGTATTAACTAGCTGGGTGGCCCGCGCAATTGCGCGGCTAGCACCCATAATAAAATTATATATTTTTTTAATATGATTTTACTTAAAATTTATTAAATAGATATCTCATTGTCTTAAGTTCTTGTTAACAGTCACACCAGTTGCTACCACTTACTTATGTCATTTTCTTCTTTTTATTTGCCTACTCGATCTACCACTGTTTCTATTTATTTTCCTTAGAACCTTTACAAATTGGATTGTATAGTTTTTAGAGTTTATTGGGTTTCGTTTTTATAATTTCTAGAAGTCGCGTCAAACGCTGCCATTATACTCCTCTACGGCCCGTCCACTACCTCTTCTCTTTATTGTCATTGGGATTTTAAAAACAAATATAATTATCTTTCTGGGTTCATTTTTTACTTTCTGTAAGTCCTGCCAAACCATTAGCAGCTTTGCCACTGTACTCCTATACGTTGGCCCATCGCCTCCCTAGTTTATTGTCATTGAGATTTTAAAATCGAACATAATTATCATTGGGTTTTTTTACTATTAGAAGTCCTGAACCTTTAAAAAATGGACCTGGTAGTTTTTAAAGGTTATTGTCTCATTGGGTTTCTTTTATATATATATATAATTTGTAGAAATCCCGTCAAACGCTGCTACTATACTACTCTACAGCCCTTCCGCTGCCTACTTTTTATTTTCATTGGGTTTCTAAAAATCGAACATAACTATCGTTGGAATTCATTATTTACTTTCTAGAAGTCCCGCCAACTGTCGGCGGCACTGTCACTGTACTCCTTTACGACCCGCCGGCTGCCTCTTCTTTTTATATTCACTGAGATTTTAAAAAATCGAATATGATTATCATCGAGGTTTATGTTTTTACTTTATGAAAGTCCTGCCGACCACCTTGCCCGGTTACTTCACGGCCTGCCCGTCGTCACTCCTTTTAATCGCCATTAGGATTCTATTTGGTGTTTTATTAATAGTTTTTAAATTTCCTATCAACCACCACTACTCTAATCATTTATAGGCATGTTACTTAATTAATCTCATCATGTGTTTTAGATGGTCTTTTCTTTCGGTAGTTTTATATTTTATCACCAATTTTAGTTATTTATAAATTGTATTCCTTGTTGAAATCTTAGTTTTCTTTTTCTAATTTCAGAATTTATTTTATTTTTGTTTTGAATTTTAATTAATATCGTATTGTGTTCTTTTAATATTATTATTTTTTATTTTCAATTTTAGTTGTTTCAAAATTGTATTCCTACTTGAAATTTTTTTAATTTGTCTAATTTCGGATTTTATTTTATTTTTATTTCGAATTTTAATTAATTTTGAATTGGGTTCTTATGTGTACTCTTATTTCAATATTGCTTATATTTAATTCCGAATTTTGGTTAATTTTAAATTGTATTCCAACTTGAACTTTTCTTTTCTTTTCTTTTTCTACTTTCGTGTTTTTTATTTTTTTTATTCCGAATTTTAACAATCTCGTATTGGGTTTTTATATGGACCGTTCTTTCAATATTGCTTAATTTTAATTCCGAATTTTAGTAATTTTTAAATTGTATTTCTAGTCGAACTCTTCTTTTCCTTTTTTGCTAATTTCAGATTTTTTTATTTTTTATACCGAATATTAATTAATCTCGTATTGGGTTCTTATAAGGACTCTTGCCTATTTTTATTTCCAAATTACAGTTATTTTTAAACTGTATTTCTAGTTGGACTCTTTTTTTCTTTTTCTCTGATTAATGTGGGAATTTCTAGCCCCACAGCGAACGTGGTGACCCACATAATTGCACGGCTAGCATCCATATAAAATTTTTTCTATACATGATTTTACTTAAAATTTGTTAAGTAGTTTTCTCGTTGTTTTAGGGTTTTGAAAGGCCGACCTTTATCATCCATGGGTTTATAATTTTATAGTTTTTAAAAGTCATATCAATCGTTACTCCATATAGATTTACCATGGCTTCTATTTATCCTCCTGAGAACTTTTAAAATCTGGATCTTATATTTTTTAGAGTTAATTGTCTCGTTGGGTTTCGTTTTTATAATTTCCAAAAGTCCCGTCAAACGGCATCACTGTACTCCTTTACACCCCACCCGCTGCCTCCCCTCTTTATTGGAATTGGGATTTTTAAAACCGTACAAAATTATCATTGGAATTTATTTTTTAAATTTCTAAAAGTCCCGCCAACCACCATGACCGTGTCACCATGCTGCTTAATGGCACGCTTGTCGTCCCTCCTCTAATCATCATTGGGATTCTATTTGGGGTTCATTGGGCTTGTTGTCTCTTCCCTTTTTATTCTCATTTGTCACCGTTGTGTTGTAGATGAACTATTTTTTTAAAAAAAATCCATATACTTCATTCTTATATTTTAGTTATTTATATATTTTGTTTCTACTCGAACTCTTATAATTATTTTCAATTATCGGAATTTATTTTATTTTTTATTTCAAATGCACTCAATTCGGTGTATGGGCCTAAAATTTAAGTCTTAAGTCCATAATTTTAATATGTATTGGAAGTGACATATTTTTTCAATATTCTCTGTATCTTCGATGCTCTTAAATTTGGTTATATTTTAGCTGAGTTTTGTGGAGGATTTCTTTGTATAATATCGGTACTGATGTGGTGGCGGCACGCTGGTTGTGGGCCGCTCATTTTGATCGATGTTCATCTTGAAGCTAGGTGATTAGGACGAATTCAGCCTATATCCTACAAAAAAATGCTGAGCCTACATATAATATTTTCCTACAGTCAAGCCCATTCTGTTTTACCGATTGCAATGCTAGAAGGGGTGATTATTTTATTGTTGCCTAGTATTTTGTTGGGTCATACACAGTAACAATGGGAAACTGGGAATCGGACATAACCATGGGAGTCAAGTCACGATGGGAATCGGAACTATTCAAAATTTTGCCTACCTATTGTTGTTCTTTTTCCTATATATTGTTGTTCCTTTTCATGCTTTAGTTAATTAGGAAAGGAAAACTAATGTACCATGACTGTTTCCTGCCAACACGAACACGTGCTTGTATCATATTTTGAATTGTAAAGGGTTCCAAATCAAAACTTTTATATAGATTTGTATTAAATCTCAATCGTCATAATTTGGACCCATCACAATCTAATGGTGTAGATTTTTTTTTCTTTGATTAACATGGGAATTTCTAGCCCCCACAGCGAACGTAGTGTCTCCTCTCAAAGCTGTCTTAATAATATAATAGATAGATAATTGACAAGATTGAACCATATGTGATGTATTATTTCACAAAAAATGCATGTTCAAATTCAATATTCGTAGTCGAATATGTTATTTTTGTTTCTATTTGTGTAAGTCCATTTGAAACTTTGCATCTTTATGGAATGACATACCTAATAATGATATATTATGTTAATTTATTTTAAACTTTTTGATGATAATTTAAATGGCATACAAAAATGAGGGGATTTTTCCCAATATTGCATATCATTGCAAAAGTGAATGTAAATACTAAATATTTTTTTGTTGGACAGGTAATACTAAATATGTATAAACTGAATGTTGTTGATCTTGGTTAGGTGGAAGGCGCATTCGTGCAAGGGATCGGCTTCTTCACGAACGAGGAGTACGCGACCAACTCCGATGGGCTGGTCATCCACGACAGCACGTGGACGTACAAGATCCCCACCGTGGACACCATCCCCAAGCAGTTCAACGTCGAGCTCATCAACAGCGCCCGCGTTCACAAGCGCGTCCTCTCCTCCAAAGGTGAAATCATCGTCTTCTTCCTTTGATCCTTTTTCTCAAACGCATGAGCAATGAAATCGTAAAGGAACTCGAAATCTGAAACTGTTTTGCGATCCATCTTGGCAGCGTCCGGTGAAGCCGCCGCCGCTGCTGGCGTCGTCGGTGCACTGCGCGATGAGGGAGGCGATCAATCAGGGCGGCCAGGAAGGAGTTCGCCGGCGCCGGCGGCTCGGCGATGACTTTCCAGATGGACGTGCCGGCGACGATGCCGGCCGTCAAGGAGCTCTGCGGCCTCGACGTCGTCGAGAGGTATCTCGAGAGCTTTACTGCCAAAGCCTAGAGATAGATGATGATGGTTCATTGGCTTCGCTTGCAACATTAAGGGAGAATAGCTAATATGGTCTCTAAAGTTTCGCTCCTGGGTTATTTTAGTCCTTAATCTTTCATATTATCCAAACAAGTCCTTTAAATTTGTCATGTGGGCTAATATAGTCTCTGGTTCCACTAAAATCGTCACATAGACATGCCATGTCACCTTCCTATGCAAAATCTATATGATAGAAAATAAAAAACAAAAGGAAAAATTTAAAAAATATATATGGTATATATAAGAGCAAAAATATACCTTAAAAGGGTGAAAAAAGAAGTATATTTTTTCATATGGTTATGTCTAATTCACCCTTATATTTATTTTTCTATGATATACGTAAAGGTAAATTGGACAATTCATCATAGATTTTGCATGAATGATGACATAACATATCCATATGATGATTTTAGTGGACCCAAGGACTATTCTAGGTCTTATGACAAATGTTAAGGATTTTTTTGGACCATTTAAAAGGTTAGGGACTAAACTAATCCTACAGAGAAACTTTAGGGACTGCTGGCTCGTTTGTTGATGCATGAAGAAGAAAAGTATTTTTCTTTTTGAAAAAAAACCAGTATATGTATGAAAATCATATGCGATTATGCATGGTAATGTTACTACCTTTGCCTGATGACTCATCCACAGTAATAGGCCTTTTCTGCTGCTACCAGTTGAAATAAGATTTGCCGGTCCATATTCATCCACCACGTGTATGGGCCAGCAATCTTATCTCATTTGAAGAAACAGCCCAACGTTGAGGGTTTCGTGTCCATGTATTTTATCTTGTCGTAGCGTTCACGAAAAAAATATATTTTATCTTGTCGTAGTTATCGGTAGAAATAACTAGCAAACATATTTTATTGTTTGCACTGTGATCTACTCCAATTCAAACGAGCTAGCTAGATTTTCAGAACTTACATGATTGGCTATTGCTGGGGTCAATATCATCAATATAATATAATAAAGTTACTCAGGTCGGATGTACTTATATCAATTAGACAAAGCCTTTAAATTTGTTTCTCTTCGATAATGGAAATCAATCCAATTAGACAAAGATATCGAGCTTGACAATCTGATCGGGATGGGTCGTTGGTCCAACTTGTCTCTATTCGGGCAGCAACTGGCAAGGTATTCTGGTTCATCAACTCTCTCGATCGGTCCCGGGCTCCAAAGTCAAATTCGATCCTGCAACGCCATCGTGCTTCCAGAAACGAATAACACGATTGCTTTCACTTTAAACATGATTGCTTTGAAAAACTCGACAACTCATCCTAACAGCAGGTACAATTGCAGTACAATAGCATTATATAAACCAACTATAACCACGTATCGATAAGAAAATAGAAGAGAGAAAAAAAGCGGGCTACAAATTTATACCTAACTGTAACACGTACTATAAGACGTTACGTGTGTATGAGATGTGGGATCGGGTATTAATTGTGTAGTATATTTTTATAGTTAATTATTGTATGAATGGATTATTAGATTAGCTATAGATGATTTAGAGCCAGTAGTTGGCTGTGCTATTAAACTTACTCTAATTAGATTGGCATCAATTACTGCCATAAAGCACTGTTAAATACTACTATGGCTCTCTAAATTGTTAGCTTTTTAATAAAGTGGTAAGAACCAAGAAGTCTCCTTAATCTAGCTGGCGGCACTTCAATTGGTGTAATTAAGATAGCAAAAATATAGTACAGTAGTAACTGTCACGAGTTACGCCCAGTTGAATTATCGATCACCAATCACCTCAGACTTGGAGAGTTGAGCCTGTTTGGATGGCCAATCACCTCACACACTCACACATGCTTACCCAACCTAGCCAAATACGGAGTATATCGCTAATAAATTGATGGCCACATATTAGACATGACATATGGGATTTGGATATAAAATTTCTTGATAATCCATAAGTATGAAAATGAAACAAACTATAGGGTACTTTTCTGCGATCCGTTTTTGGGTAAGCCCCCACGCCATCTTAATTAAGGAGGCGACTCAGGTAGCAACGAACAAAGCCGCAAGTCAAATCTGCTGGTCCTAAATACATCTTGGTCTTCGTGGAGGTGCGTCATCCAGGACATCAAGGAGCATTCTCGTCAACACTCTGCTGGCATCGTAAAGTGTGATCCAGTCATGGCAGTGAAAAATCATTTGGAGATTACCACCGTGTTTAGTTTCAAAATATTTTTTCAAACTTCTATCTTTTTCATCACATCAAAATTTTTCGGTGCACATAAACTTCTAACGTCCTATTTAGATGTGACTAAAACTTTTAAGTCTCTATCACATCGAATGTTTGGATACTAATTATAAATATTAAACGTAGGCTATTAATAAAACTCATCCATAATCTTGAACTAATTCGCGAGACGAATCTATTGAGCCTAATTAATCCATGATTAGTCTATGTGATGCTACAGTAAACATTCTCTAATTATAGATTAATTAGGCTTAAAATATTTATCTTGCAAATTAGCTTTCATTTATGTAATTAGTTTTGTAAATAGTCTATATTTAATACTCTAAATTAGTGTCTAGATATAGGGACTAAAGTTAAGTCTCTGGATCCAAACACCACCTAAGGGCCTGTTTAGTTCCCCAAAATTTTTTCCCAAAAACATCACATCGAATCTTTGGACATATGTATGAAGCATTAAATATAGATAAAAAGAAAAACTAATTGCACAGTTATGGGGGAAATCGCGAGACGAATCTTTTAAGCCTAATTAGTCTGTGATTAGCCATAAGTGCTACAGTAACCCACATGTGCTAACGACAGCTTAATTAGTCTCAAAAGATTCGTCTCGCGGTTTCCAGGCGAATTCTGAAATTAGTTTTTTCATTCGTGTCCGAAAACCCCTTCCGATATCTGGTCAAACGTCCGATGTGACACTCAAAAATCTCCTTTTCCCCAACTAAACACACCCTAACTTTTCCGTCATATCGTTTCAATTTCAACCAAACTTCCAATTTTGGCGTGAACTAAACATAGCCTACATCCGTAGAGTTTGATGATGGTTTCCTTCAACTTGATAGAACTTTCTTAGAGCAGGTAAAATTAATAGTGTGTGATAAGGACTCCACGTCAGATAGAATTTTCTTAGAGCAGGTAAAATTAATCTGGATTTTTCACATTTTGGTCTTTTTAAAAAACTTATTTCACAAATAGACCCCTAGAAAAACTTATCCCAGAAATGGTCCTTTTTGGGGCGCCAGAGTGGCTGGCGCCGTCGTCCAACGGGACGGCGCCAGCCTCTCTGGCGCCGTCCTCCTGCCACCGTGGCACACGCGAACCGACGTGGCAGGAGGAGAGCGCCAACATGGCTGGCGCCGCCCTAGAGAGGAGGGCTGCTGGCGCCGCCCCATCCCCCACCACCCCTCGCCTCCATTCCTGTTTCTTATAGAGTTGTAACCTTTTTATTTTTGTTTTATTTTTTCGGATGTTTTTTCGCACTTAGGATCACGATACAACCAGCCACAAAAAAAAATTTAAACTCGAACGAAATATAGCATACCACTTAGCCTACTTTGCACCTTCATCAAAATTAGACCATAACTCCTTTAGTAAAACCCTTTGATCAACATGTTAAACATAATGCACTCTACCACTATATGAAATTACTTAATCTCTAATTCAAAATATAACCACATGAAATGATAGCCATAAGTTAAACAGTACACAGAGATGCAGTTTTTTTTATTTTTATTTTTTTGATATTTTATTTTCACACTTAGGAGAATACAAGAACCAACCATAGAAAAAATAAACTCAAACAGACAAAATATGTGACTTGTAGAATTTTCCAAAGCTCTATCGAAAAATCATTCGGGTGTCATTTATTAAAATAGGCGTAACTTTCTCATACGGACTCGAAATCAGGAAAATAATATATCCACGGACATTTACAGAAAAAGTTACATCCAATTTTCCCCCGCTTTGCTGGGTTCGGCGATATTAAAACCTCCAAATTCCGCTTGCAAGATTGTGTTTTCGAGGAGAGAAGTTTTTCGGTAGAGCTTTGAAAAATTCCACAAGCCACATATTTCGTCCGTTTGAGTTTATTTTTTATATGGTTGGTTCTTGTGAGTTCCTAAGTGTGAAAAAAATATCAAAAAAATAAAATAAAAATAAAAAAGTTGCACATCTCTCTCCTATGCATAGTTCGGAGAGAGAGGAGAGGAGAGGAAAAATTCTACAGGTCACATATTACGTCCATTTGAGTTCAATTTTTCTATGGTATGTTCTTGTGTGTCCTTAAGCGTGAAAAAAATATCAAACAAATAAAACAAAAATAAAAAATTTCGGGGGTGGGGGGGCGCCAGCCACTCTAGTGCGCTCCCCCTAGCCACCTCAGCATCGCACCGCCACGTCGACAGGGGGACGGCGCCAGCCACTCTGGCGCCCCAAAAAGGATTATTTCTAGGATAAGTTTTTTCAGGGGTTTATTTGCTAAATAAGTTTTTTAAAAGGACCAAAATGTGAAAAATCCAGTAAAATTAATAGTGTGTGATAAGGACTCCACGTCAGATTGTTTTTTAATGAGCTGGAGGAGAGAGGGGATGAGACAGAATGAACGGACAACTAATTAGTCGCTCGGCTCTAGACGTGGCCCAAGATAGTGGGGCCCACTCATACTCAGATGTCGCGACCTTGCTCAAACCCTCATCACCACAAGCCCGTAACCTTTCTCGCCGTGGTTGACTAGTTGTTGTCGTCGCTGGAGTTCGCCATCCTCGTCCGCAGCCGCCGTTCCCATGGCCGCCCTTGTCTGCTGCCGCTGCCATGGCCGCCCCTGTCCATCACGGCCGCTGTCGTCGCCTCCTTCCCTCATGGTCACCCCCTTCGTCCGTCGGGCCACAACCTCCTACATCCTCCACGGCCACTGCCCTCGTCCGCCGCGGCGTCGACCACATCTCCAGCGGCTGCTGCCGTTGCTGCCTTCCTCCACGGCCCTTGCACTCATCCGCGGTGGACACCCATGTCGCACGTGTTTGTCGGGCCGCTACCATCGTTCGCGTACGCTGGGCCGCCGTTGTGTGCCTTTTTTGTCGCCCGACCGCCCTCATCCAACCAGGTTGCCGCCATCTCATGCGTCCACCGGACTGCCATCGTCATCCACCCCAGCCACTGCCGTCACCTGCGTCCGTCAGACAGCCATCACCGTTTACCCTCATCGGTTAAGAAAAGAAGAGAAGAATACATAACGGAAAGGGGTAGGAGGGAGAAAGAGGGATGAGATAGGAGAATATAGTGGGTCCCACAAACAGAATAAAATATGTGTGTTAAAGTATTTCTATTGTAGATATTAGCTGCGCTGCTTACTATAGATTACACGGCCTTTTTTTTGAGCTAGCAATAGGCTCTCTTAGGGCATGCCCAACGCGAGTACGTGGAGCGTACCCCTAGGCGCACACGTCAGACGCGGGGCCAAAAAGTGGCGAGGACCACGCGCCTGCGAGGAGGTGCGAACCCACTGATCGCTCTGCACACCCTCACGCGAGGCGCCGCTCTGAAGCTAGGTTTAGGCTGTGGCACCGCGTTGTGTAGCATGAAGCTCCTGTTCAATTAATCTGTTGTGCAGCTTTAATTTGAAAATGGTCCATCTGAAGGTATTGCTTCCATTGGGGGGATG